CCAGCCTGCAACCCGGGCATGTGCCCTGACCGGGAATCGAACCGTGACCTCCTGGTTCATCGGTCAACGCTCAACCACTGAGCCCCGCCGGCCGGGCCGTGTATTTGGAATGATGACTTCCAAAGGAGGGCCTGGCACCCAGCCCACATTGTCCTAGCAGGAGGCACAGCATGGATGTCACGTCCCCGAGCAGCGGGCCGTGTGCAGCGAGAGCCGGCCTATAAATAGGAAATGACGGAGTTTACAGTACACCCTGGGCGTCCTTCAGCAAGACGATTCTGATGAAATGAGGGGACGGGAGCATATGTAAATAGAGCATGAACATTACGTATCAACAGCTGGGCAGACACATCTTGTGGAGGGAGACGCGTCTGCGGAAAGGTGGGAGCGGGCGGCAGAAGGAGTGTCAGCTCTGGTTTCAGATTCGCTGGATTCGAATCCTGGCTCTACCACTAATGGCTGGAAAGCGGGACATCATCTAACTCCTGTCCGTCTCATTTCCCCGCATCGATTGTGAGGCCACTAGCGTGTGCAATTGTTTTGTTTGTTTTGTTTTAAATATGTTTTTATTGATTTCAGAGAGGAAAAGAGGGTGAGAGAGAGATAGAAACGTCAATGATGAGAGAGATTCATGGATCGGCCGCCTCCTGCATACCCCCTACTGGGGATCGAGCCCACAACCGAGGCACGTGCCCTGATTGGGAATCAAACCGTGACCTCCTGGTTCATGGGTCGATGCTCAACCACTGAGCCACGCTGGCCGGGCTGCAATTGGTACCAGTGTTAACTATGTTAGGACATAGTTAACATCCCATTGTGTTACTGCTGTCTGTCTTCCTTGATGGATTGTGAGCTGCTCCCAAAAGGAATTGTGTCTGAGTGGTCATGGTATTTCGAATTCCTAATCCAGTGTCTGACCCATGGTGGATTCTTAGTAAATGTTGAAATAGTAAGAATCAGCCCTAGCCGGTTTGGCTCAGTGGATAGAGCGTCCGCCCTCGGACTGAGGGTCCTGGGTTCGATTCCGGTCACGGGCACGTACCTCGGCTGTAGGCTTGATCCCCATCCCTGGTTAGGGCACGTGCGGGAGGCAACCAATCGATGTGTCTCTCTCACATCGATGTTTCTCTCTGTCTCTCCCCCACCTTTCAACTCTCTAAAAATCACTGGGAAAAAATATCCTGGGGTGAGGATTTACAAATAATAAGAATAAGAATCATGGAAACTGTACACTTAGATAATAATGATGGTTTAATCTTAAGGGAGTCCTTACTTTGTGCCCGGCTCTGTGCTAGGAGCATTTCATGGATCATCTTATTTAATTCGCATGACGACCCTCTGATGGTTGGTCTGAGCATCCCATGCCGGTGGGAGGGTACTGAGACTTAGGAATGTCCCACGTTCCCAGGGCTTCAGCCAGGCCGCCCCAGGCTCTACTCGGGACCAGCGACGTGGAGGAGAATTCCGTGGACCAGCAGGAGTCTCAGAAGCTGTCTGAGTACCAAGGGCGAGAATTCAGGAGGGCTGAGAGCATCCCAGCACCAGTGGCAGCTTCCGAGCAGGCTCTGATATGAGACAGAGGTGGGTGGGGGCATCTGAGGTGCACGCTGGGTTAGCGCCCGTGCTGTGGGCAGGGGGGCACCGATGCTGGAACAGGGGCTGCATTTGGAGTTCCTGGCAGTTGGAACGGGCAGTGCCAGGGCCCAGAAGCCTAGAGATGGGTGTCAGCGCTTGAGGCTGTGGATGACAGGGGGTTAGAGTCAGAGAGGGAGCTTGGGGCTGCAATCCAGGAAGGAGCTGAAGGCAAACGCCACTGGATTGGGCAACAGATTGCAGGCCCTCTTAAGAGAAGAAAATGAAGCAACACAGAGGCCACTTCGTTCGACGGCCATTGGCGCCCACTCAAGGCAGTGAAGGAGGAGACTGTATTCATTGCAAACAACTGCGTTGTGATACAGCCCAGCTGTGGAAACGCTCCCCCGTGTTCACAATGGTGGCTCAGCACGGCCGAGGCTCCACTGGGCTCCACCCTCGTCTGGTGAGCTGTGATCCCGTTTCAGCTCCAGCTGGGAAAAGAAAGCTTCAGGGAAAACGGAAAGTGTGGCTCTAGCCGGTGTGGCTCAGTGGATAGAGCAGCAGCCTGCGGACTGAAGGGTCCCAGGTTTCATTCCAGTCATGGGCACGTATCTCGGTTGCAAGCTCAGTCCCTGGCCCTGGTTGGGGCATGTGCGGAGGCAACCAATGGATGTGTCTCTCTCACATTGATGTTTCTCTCTCTGTCTCTCCCCCTCCCTTCCACTCTCTCTAAAAATCAATGGGAAAAATATCCGTGGGTGAAGATTAACAAAAAGAAGAAGAAAAGAAAGGGAAAGTGTGCTCTGTGGGCCAGAGGAGAGCTGACTTATAGAGAGAGAAGTCCCAGTCCCAGGTCCCCATGGGTCAGTGATGGCGAACCTTTTGAGCTCGGCGTGTCAGCATTTTGAAAAACCCTAACTTAACTCTGGTGCCGTGTCACATGTAGAAATTTTTTGATATTTGCAACCATAGTAAAACAAAGACTTATATTTTTGATATTTATTTTATATATTTAAATGCCATTTAACAAAGAAAAATCAACCAAAAAAATGAGTTCAAGTGTCACCTCTGACACACGTGTCATAGGTTCGCCATCACTGCCATAGGTCCATCCTCATGCAAATGAGCATTCCAAATCCTCACAGTTTGATTGGCCCAAAGACATTTTGTTCTGATTGGTTGGAATGGAGCTGCTCTGATAGGCCAGCGAGAATGCCGAGGCTATAGCTGGGGGGAAGTCTCCGTCTTATTGGTTGAAATGTGATTCCAGGAGCTCCTCTATAAGCACTGGCTCAGCGTGAAGGCTTCTCCCTGAAGCCAGCTTGCATGGGAGCCCAGCAAGGCTCTGTTTATAAATGTGAGCCCAGTTAGCCACCCCCAGCCCTTCTCGACAGGCACCTACATTCCTGGGGCCCAAAGCTGATGACTAATGAATTTAAAAGATGTCATGAGTAGATCAAAGACTTTATGTTCAGAGGGTGTATGTCATTTGCTTGTTTCTCATGTTTTCTACTGGTTGAGGACGCACGCTCCCTACCTATGATTTGAAATTAGCTGTTTACTCTGAGAATTATTCCCAAGGGGGTCCCACGTCCTCAGGGTTAGCTGGTGACAGACACAGGGGTGACGGTTGTCTCTGTAGATTAGCACGGTGTCACATACACCCAGCTCCCACTTCTGTCCTCGATTTCAAACGGCAGCCCTGGTTCTACCTTTAACC